AATTTTTGGGTTTTTTTTTTTTTTTTTTTTTTTTGGTACTGGGGATCGAACTTGGGTCCTTGGGCTTGCGAGGCAGGCCGCTGAACACTGAGCTAAATCCCCAGCCCTTTTTTTTGTTTGTTTGTTTTTTCAGACAGGGTCTCACTCTGTAGTTGAGACTGACCTGGAACTCACTGTAGCTCACCACAATCCTCCTGCCTCTGCCTCCCAAGTGCTGGGATTACAGGCATGTGCCACCATGCCTGGCAATACTCAGACTCTTAATAAGAACATGAATGTTACCACTCTTACTGGTGCTTCCCTGACCGTCCTCCACCTTGGGAGAGACATTAAATGTATGGCTAGGTCATCTGTAAAATTAGTGCTGCGGAAAATTGCTGAGGAGACAATGCATATACAGTTAACTATTCTAATTATATCATTATCTTTTACTTCACTAACCACACAGATTTATTTAGCTTTATTTTCCAAAATATTAAATTATCTATTAATATTTCTTTTTTGAACTACACATTTTTTCTCTACCCACACCTCATTGAGATGTTTCCAAATCTGGCTTTTGCTCCCATTGAGCCTGTAAACCATGAGTTGTGACAATAATCTGTTGTTTCGTACATAACATAATGTCCTAAATGTCTTTGTAATATTATCTCATAGTCTGGTTATAAGAAAAAATTATGGAAAAAGACGGCTGCAAGAAAAAGACGCCTGAGGGAAATGGTGTTCTGCAATAAAACCCAGAGTAAACTCTTAGATAAAATGACGACATCCTTCTGGAAGAGGCGAAACTGGTATGTTGATGATCCTTATCAGAAATACCACAATCGAACAAACCTGAAAGTATAGATCAGAAGTTTTTAATTGTTACTGAATCTATATCTTTGTGTACATGATGTCTTTGTAAAAATGACTAAATGTAAAAACTTAATGTAAATTTTACCATCTGATATGTAAACATAGAGTACGAATGTTCAATTTATAAGAGTTTTAAGTGAATGAATTAAACATTCCCAGATTTGGTTAAGGAACTAGATATTTAAAATTGTGTATTATTTTTAACAAATGGTAATGGCTTTACTGGTTGTTTCCATTAGGTTATGTAGAAATCTCAACTAAGGAGAAACATGAAAAGACTCAAGTTAGCTCAAACAGTGCGACAGCGTAGAATTACAGTGTATGCCTGGGAACTCAGGAACCAGCTCCCAGCTTGTCCCCCACCCAGAATTCACCCCAGGCCTCAGGAAGAGCAGAATGGAATGGTGCTCCTCAGCAAGAGATTATAGATCTTTAGGCTCAGATTCTGCCATGCGTGACTCCATTCTCATACATTATCGACTCTCCTACTCACCAGCTTCTGCTTCACAGCTTTTGTTTACATATGGTTTCTGTTCCATCATAACAAGTTTGGCTTACACCTTTGAGGTTCTTTCTTTTCACAGCTCTGACTCTTGCAGCAGCAAGTCTCTAACTGGGCCAGCTTCCATGTTTACCCTAGGTGCACCATCCAGTGTAGGCATCAGCTATTCTTAGGTCAGAAGACCACTCTGGCCCACTTTGTTGTGTTAACAGATGTGTGTGCAGCACAAACTAGTTCATATTTTAGCATCCAGTATACTAGATTCACTGTGTTCATAACAATTTTCATTTAGTTGATTGGAGCAAGATGTTTCTATAGAAGAGTAAATGAAATAGCTTTTCAGTATGCCCTTTATTGACACAGAAAAGGCTAAATGAAGATACTCGAGTTTTGAAAGTTACGTCTTTCTTAAATGTTAGTGTATCCATTTGAGATTTCTTATTTTCATTTGTAAGCATAGATTTTTTCCAAAAATGAGCTGTAGAAACTAAAGGGGAAAATAACTTCAATCATTTTAGAAATGATGTTTGTTTGAAGAGAGGCAGTAATGCTTATAGTTCTCAGCTGTCCCATCAGAATCATCTGGGAAAGCAGAAGCACTTTGCCTACTTGAAAACCATTGCTAAACAGAACTATGATAGGATTACTGTTTTAAGTTGTTTAGCATAATAGTTGGTAGCGGTAAGATGCAGTTCCTCTATTGTTAGTAGAATAAGATACCAAAGTGAGGGCCAGGGATTTAGCTCAGTGGTTCCACCACCTGCCTCGCAAGCGCAAGGTCCCCAGTTTGATCCCAGGTACCAAAAAATTAAAAATTAAAAAAAGATACCAAATTGAAATTCTTTGGCTTACCAAAGCAGAAATATTAGGGAATGCCTTGAAAGCAGTGTGTGTTCATTAAATAGAGAAGGGGTAATAATAGAATGTTCTAAAACCAGAGGGCCAAGTACATGTCTGTTAGTGGGACCAACTAATACAGAATGGGCATTTGATTTGAGATAAGGTAGGAGCCTGACACATGGAATTGCACTCTGTTTTGGTGGGTTTTCCTTTTTTTCACACTTGTGGGATGGTAGAAACCACCATTTCTAATGCTCTTGCATTTCTCTCCCCATGCTGTTTCTCCCCTCCAGCACATCTCTGGTGGTGGGATGTACTCATATCTGCAGAAGCTGAGAAGGTGGATGCTTACCCACAAGGTCTCTGTTACAAGGGCCTCAGAGCACCTTGGTTTCTCTTGTAGGCCAGGGAGAGATGGGGTAGAAATGAGGGCTGGCAACCGGGGCTTTGGCGTCCAGAGATGGGCCGATGGGAACATTTTTGAGGGGAAAGGAACTTTCATGCATACACTTTATATTTTGTAGGTAGGAGCGCTTGACCATAAAATACCTTTCATTAAGTTAGAGTACCTAAATGACATTTGAATATACATATAATTTGAAAAGTAGATGGATAGTTTAAGTATATCATTTACTGAATACTTACTATGTCCCAGCATTTCTGCTAAACCTTATATTAACCTTGCAAAGGAGATATTTATCCCTAATTTAAATACCCAAAAGTACAGCTACTAAATCCCAGAATCCCAATCTAACTCCTTGGAAACTGTGTATTTCCTTCAGTCTTCTAACAACATATGAAAATAATATATCTAAATCAACAAGTAGCTGTGATCTAGCACTATATATTTTTCGTTTTTAATAGTACATGCTTGTAACACACAGTGATCACACTCATTGTGGGGAGTTGGCACATGCACATAACACATCTTTGTTCTTTTTTGTTCCCCTTTTCTAGCACTATATAGATGCTAAATACTTCCTAACACTGTACTACTTCAGCTTTTACATTATATAACTTAGCTTTCATAGTATTTGTTGACCCATTTTTGTTAATCTCAGCTCTGTTGACATTGCACCTGGCTCAATAAATTAAAAAAATGGATTTCCAGGATTTTTTTTTTCCATCTCTTCCTGCTTTCTGTGCTCTGAATGTGCTTCTTTCTGCTGCTGCTTTATTTTGTGCTCCTTGTGTGAAAAAAATACAGAATATAGGAGCAGGAAAGCAAAGAAAATGTGTTCAATTTAGTTGTTTCCAGGTCTTGGTGCCCCTACTCCCCCATGAAGCTCAAGTATACCTGCATTAATTGATTGATGTTTTTTTGAAACAAGATTTCGCTGTTTAGTCCAAACTGACCTTGAACTTTTGACCTTGCCCAGGCTGGCCTCAGGGAAATCCTCCTGCCTCAGCTTCTCCACTGTGAGATTATAGGCATAAACCACCACACCCAGCTCCTGCTTTTATTTAAAGGCAAGGTGTATAGTAGGGTCAAGAGAAGGGCATCCCTCCCAGGTACAGTGGCCCTGCCTCCCAATTATTCTTCACTAGTCGCATAAGCATGTGGTTGAATTTCCAGACCAGTTAGCCATTGAGAATTCAACTTCTAATCCTTGCTGTTGCTGGCCCTTCTTATTTAGTTTCATAGCATTTCATTAACTTGCCCAGGCAGGATTTAAACCTGCAAACTTCTTGTGTCAGCCTCACTAATTGCTGGTATTATGAGCATGTGCCACAATGCCAGCTTCCTACTACTTTCATTTTTGGCGATAGGTTCTTGAGGCAGGCAGCGAAACCACTGAGCTAAATCCCCAGCCCCCTATAGGTTCTTGATAAATTGCTCATGCTGGGCTCAAACTTACAATCTCCTGCCTCAGTATCCCAGAATTCTGGGATTATAGGAGCGTACCACCACACCCACCCAGCTCCTTTACATTTCTGAAAAAGTATTTTCTTTTTCCTCATGAGTCCAACGTTACAAAGATGTTCTTTAAAAGAAAAATGTTAAGACTTTATTCAGGATGTATGTCAGGCATTATAACAAAACAACAGAACTTCAGCCTTTGAAATACTGTAATTTTACATCCCTTTGATACACAGTCCAGTATACTATTTAATTACACATCATTCTATAGACTTCAGAAATAAACTAGAGGAAATGTGCACAGTCACGATCAAGAACATCAGCTCCTTGAGTGTTAGAGGAGGAGGAGGAGGCCCATCCTTTGCCATTTCAAATACTGTGTGAGGTGAAGAACTAGGAAAGCTCAACGATGGCCGTGGTTGACAAGCACTCTTAGCACAAACACATGTACGGTTACCACAGAGGACACACATGTCAAAGGCCAGTGAAGTGAGCACACTCTTCACACAGAGTCAGGAAGGATCATGAGGAATTGTTCCAGTTGATAAGCACAAGACCACACCTCATCTCCTCAGAAACAGAACAGGTGCTGGATGACAAGTAACTAAAAATTTTGACATGGAAATTACAGACTTTTGAGCTAGCATTTTGTAAACAGCCTGTGTCTGTAAGTGAGCAAATTAAAAAAATTCAGTTATATCCTCTAGACAGAAAACCACACCACTATGTGTACACTGATAGGCATTCACATTTTATGTCTGTCCATACACAAATATACAGCTTGTTGGATAAGTAAACACATTTTGCCAGAAATATGACAGCTGCTCTCAGTTATACAGTGTCTTCAAGAGAAAAACCACCCCTAGTCAACACATGAATGAAAAAGTTACATTAAGACAGCAGTTTGAATATACCTTATATTTTTAAATCTTAAGTAATACAGCATGTCTGGGAGTAGAGTACTTCAAACTGGCTTTTTTGGCATAGTTGATTGCAAACTCCATAGCCTGGATTTGTTATAACTTTGCATTGTAAAATAGTGAAAATACAGATTTTGAACTCTGCTGCTAAAGGCATTTATTATTTTGGCAAAACAAAAGTTTACTAAAAAGCTGCTTCTCTTAAGCTTTTTTGCACTTGTTTCTGATAGTTCTAGGTATGCCCAACTAATAGATAAAATATATTTTAAGGAGTACATTTTTCCTTTTCTGTAACTATTCAGTGAGCTTGAACAGAATAGGATTTCTGTCTTCTCTTAACAGGTTTAGATATGAATGGGTGTGGGGCACAGACAGTGAATAGACAGCCTCTGTTTGCCCTCTCAACCATGAATTTGATTTTAGATCTATTTTCTTAAATCCTTTTTTAAATTATAAAGTCACCTTTGGAAGAAGTATGGGAAGAAGGGATTTCATGTATATCTGGCAACAATCAATGTCAGCTAAAACCCTTTGTAAGATGACTCCAATCCAGCTAATGTGTCATCAGCAAAGGCCACCAGTGCATGTTTACATAGCTCAGTAATGGGACAGTTTTAATTGGGCCTGACTGCTTCTAGTGGGTGGACAGTGAGTTCTATGCAGTATATAATACTACTTCTCTAGTCTTCCGGGTAATCTATGAACAAACTAAGTACCTGGTTTGTGACCACTGCATGCAGTACACTGAAAGAAAACACCAACTCTAAGCACAAATATACTAGTCCTACATTTTGGCTCAGCTCTCAGAGAGGAGGGCAGCTACCTCAGATTACAAATCCATCTAAATCAGATTCTTGTTCTTAGATAAAATCCTCAATCTTAACAAGAAGTCCCCTCAATACTTCCTTCCCCTATTAAGCAATTCTGGCGATAGAAAACATCTGAAGACCCGAGTACCCTTGAGCGTGAGTCCTTTCCTGTTCACACTCCACACAAGCCAGGAAGGGAGCAGGTGTGAGCCAGTTGCCCATGGAGCTGAGCAGTGAGTTATCTATAAAGATCTCAACCTCTAAAACCTTCCAGAACCCAACGTTTGGGTTGTTGTACATGTGTCTCACGTATTTCAGAACATACCTGAAACAAAGCATAGTTCTAGCTTTTTGTGGGGGTGTTGTTTCTTTTTGCTTAATGTTCTTTAGGCTTCTCTACCTGAGGAAATTAGCTGCTGCATGGGCCACTCTGAAGGAGAAAGAGTCATGTGGCAAGATGAAATGTTCAAGATTCACTAGCAACTCTGAGTCCCCATCCCCAAGAAGTTTTGCCAAGAATGAGCCACCTGCCCGAGACAGGGTTAAAGCCCCTGGCAAGGCTCAAAGGCTCCAAACCCTGAATGCAAGGAGAAGATGAGCTTCCAGTGACTTTCCAATCTCCCACTAATACTCATCCCTGATGCTAAACATCTCTCTACTCCTGATGTCTCTGGTCTATTGACTACACAACCATTAGAAAAATACACAATCTTCCTGCAGGAAAGGGGATGCTTTATAGGAGCTGGATTTGGAAGCTTTATAAACACACTGGAGACACTGTCTAGAATCAAAAAAGTTTTTTTTATATATTTCTGTTTTTTGCAGTTTTCTCACTTAGAACCTTTGGAGGCCCTTGCAAGTTCATTAAGCCAAAAACCATAAGTATGTACATCATAGTCCAAAGTATTAGTACCAAAAACAAAAAGTGTTTTTTAAAAAATTGCTTTGTTTGCATTTACAGGACTAAAAACTATGCGACAGATAAATTACAAATGTACATGTCAGCAGCAAAGAGGTGATTTCTATTTCTAAAAACACTGCTGTCTGTAATAACGATCCAATTGGGGAACGTTACTAACCTCAGAAGACTCAAAGGTCACCCCCCCCACCTTTCCCTTTAGCCTCTCCTTAGCAAAATAAAGAGAAGGGAGGAGAACATAAATTTTTAAAGGTGGAAGAGGGGAGCGAGAAAAGGCCATGTCAGTGAGGCTACACACTCAAAGCACACCCAGCCCGTGGATTTGTTATTAGTGACTAGCTCTTTAAGGCAGAGGAGAAACATTCTGTGGATCCGGTGCTGTTGGCTCATCTCACTCATGTGGTTACAGTGGCTGAGGATGAGGTACTTTTCTTCCTGAAGTGAGATCGAAGGATTCTAGGCGGTGCCTGGTAGAAAAAAAGAGGAAAAACTGGCATCACTGAGTATGGCATGAATATGGTCTCTTGAGGACAACACCTGGGGGAAGGGGTCATCCATTGTGACAGTCACCTCCTCTGGCCAAATGCACATGGGTGAGGTGACAGGAAGTGGGGAGTCCCTCTGAGTCTCCAAGGCAGGAATCAGACTCTAGAGGTGCTCTCCATGCCCCCTGGAAAGCTGAGCCTACTGAGAAGGTTGACACCTCCTCTGCCTGCCCCACGTTCTGCCAAGTCTCCAGCTCTCACAAAGGAACAGCTGGCAGAGTGACTGACATCTTGTTTCCACCTCGAGAGCAAGGAATCTTGAGTGACTGAGCAGAGAGAAGAGCCCCCCATCTCTTCCCTTGTCTTTGTTCTTTTCTTTGGGAATCAGCCTTGTGTTCCTTGGTATGTGCTTCAGATTTCCAGTTTTGGACGTGGAACCTTTGAGACAGCAAACCACACCACCCTTAAGTATTAAGGGTTCCATGTCATCTTCCCCACAAATGACTCTCAAGGCACTCCTCCTTCCACGGGCTACACAAATCACAGTGAAAGAAAGAGAGGAACCTTGCATAGTACCTCCAGGTATCCACACAAGTAGCCTCAACCTGTCCTCCGCCACTGTTTCTGCAAGAACTTTCTCTGTCCTGTCCTTTCATACTGCTGCTCCTTCTGACAGGGAGCTCTTCCCTCCCTCCTTTCTGTCCTGCATCTCAGTCCCCCTGAGCACCCGGCTCACGGTTGTTTCTGCACAGGACCTCCTCAAGGCACTGCCAGCCGCACTCAGGTGAGGCTGCCTCACCCATTTTGTCCTCTGGCAGCGTTGTGTGCGTGCCACACAGCAGCAGCCTTTGCACCTAGGTGTGTGTGGGGTGGTCCTCTGCTGTCTTCCCCACTGCTGTGAGCTGACTCCCCAGGGTCTTCCTGAGGGCAGGCCCCTGTCCAGTCCACCACCTCTTCCCAGTGATGGTTGGGAAATGCCAGCCAGGAACATCAAGGGAGGAAGGACCCCAGCACTCTGGGAAACTCAGGCAGGAGGTTCCTAACTTAGTGAGACCCTGCCTCAAAGTAAAAAGTGGGGTGGGAATGTAGCTCGGTGTGGAGACCCTGGGTTTAATTTCCAGTACTAGAAAAAAAATAAAATAATGATTTCTTTTTTTTAAAGGAAGGCAAAGAGTGAAAGAATGAGAGAACATTATCAGACCCGGTACCACCCAGTCCTCAGGTGCAGCGTCAACCTTGGGAAATGTTTACCAGCTATGTCTAAACATAGACTAGAAGCAGGAGCAGTGTAATCCACCTTTTTATTGTTGGTTTTTGGGTTTTTTGTTGTTTGTTTGGTACTGGAGAGCGAACTCAGGTCCTTGCCACTTGTGAGGCAGGCAAAGGAACCACTGAGCTAAATCCCCAGCCCTAACCCACCTTTTTAGTAATCTGCCTTTTGGCTGTTACAGTGAACAGTGAAGCAGTCTGCAACTTTAAAACAAAACCAAAAGCACAATCTCTTGGGTCCTGGGATGTTTTCAGCAGAGCTCCTTGCCCCCATGAGGCCATGCCCAGACTGGACTCCCAGTTACTCCACAATTGATTCACATGCTAAAACTGCACATGGATGTGACCGTAACTATGAGTCTGGGGTGAACGAAATGCCAGCCCACTGTGTTTGCAGGGGAACCTGACCACACCTCTCATCACCTGACCTCACAGGAGCCTCTGTTCTGTGGTCTGGGCACTCCCAGCTCCCCAGATGGACCTTCAGGCTGTAGAACTGCAAATGGGGAACAAGAGTGAAGAGCAAGTGGGCAGACAGGAAGTCCCTGCAGTCCCAAGTTTCCACTCACATCAGAGAGCAAGGCCCATGAATTCCAGGGTTGGCCACCCTGCTACCAAAACCATATCCACAACTACAACTGCCTGTAGTATCTATATCAAGTGTATTCTTTTTGGTAATTTAAGAGGGCCATGGCCTCTAATAACGTTTTGTGAACAGCTGCTTTGTTCCAGGCACAGCGCTATGCTTTGGAGAAACATTTAAAAAAATGTGTCACATTTAGAATACATCAAAACACAGATGCCTTACCACCCTGCTATTTCTAAATGAACTCTGTAGTATCTTCTCTCTACCCCACCTCCTCCTGGCAGGTAGCTGGATGCTATTTAGTAGTTTATCTTGCTTGTTGGATGGAGGGAGATCTTTCACCCAAGCACTTAGGAGATGTTAGGTACCCCCGAGAGGTGTCTCTTCTAGGAACCCCAGATCTCCAGGACAAAGCCCCTAGGGCAAACACATGCTCCACAGCCCACAGCCCCAGACACCGTGTACCTCCAGGGACAACTCCGTCCTTCTTGGTGTCTTATACTTGTACATGAAATCCAGCAGGTCTTCCTCCTCCTCGTCAGAAAATGCCAATGGGTTTTGGACCTGATGGGGCTCCCAGGCCTTCACACTACCCTCATTCACATCTCCCTCAACCACTTAATGTCCATTTACAATCTACACAGAGGAAACAAAGTACAATGAGGAGGGGTCAGTGTCAAAAGGATCAAGGAAGGGCAGGAAAGGCAAGGTTAGGCACACAGCACAAAGCCAGGCCTGTTAGGACAACACACACACACACACACACACACACACACACACACACACCACACCCTGTCTAAAGAAGCTCCAGTAGCTCTGGGACCTCCTGAAGGGAGAGGGTCAGGGTTGTGCAAGTGCAACTGTAAGACCATGCACAGAGCCTCAGGCTCAGAGTCTACCAAACAGCTACCAAGGCAGGTGGGGCACCACTTTCCCAGGAGAAGCAATGGCCTTGACTGAGATGGGTCAAACTCTGCAGCCTACACTTGTGGCTCCACATGAGAATGCTCCAGAGGAAGGATCTCATCCAGAGAGGATGGTGGGATGATCTCAAAGGAGGAGTGCACAATTTTCTATATTACACATACAAGCGATGTTGACAATGCATGAGGTGTTCAGCTCCATCACTTTTCCTTTCCATTCACAGCTTTTACTAAAGCACCCACACAAATTTCTATGCAACATACAAACATGAACAGGCGCTGGGCTTCTGCCTCCTTTCTGAGATGGAGGCAAGAACCAGACTGATTGAACCAAGTCCCTCCCTCCTCCCAAAGGCCAACCCCAAGATTCCAGGCAGCTGCACAGCACCCACTCTGGTCCCTCCCTGGGGCTGCTCTTCAGCAGCGGGTGCACCAAAGCTTGTCCCCAACAATGCCTGACAATGCCAAATGCAAAAGGTTTCACCCATCCCCTGGATCGAACTCAGGTCCTTGCAATTGCGAGGCAGGTAGAACCACTGAGCTAAATCCCCAGCCCTCCAACACTCTTTAAGAGACAGAATGTAAACTTCCAGGGGCTGGGGACTTAGCTCAGTGGTATCACGCCTGACTCACAAGCACAAGGTCCTAGGTTCCATCCCTGGTACCACACACACACACACACACACACACACACACAACACACACACACAAAAACAAAAGATATTAGAATGTAAACTGAAGCCTGAAGGGATAACATTGAGCAGAACTGTGCAGATTTTATCCTTTCAAAGGCCAGTCCTAGAAAAGCAGAGGAGCCTCATGGAAGGAGAAATTGAATGTAGTCCCCTCCTTCTAAGAACATGACTGCAAGAGTCATATTTGTCTGCTTTGAATAAAACCAGAGGAAGAGCTTCAGAATTAATTCCACATTGAATACAGTCTATTCCATGTTATCTGTCCAGGCAGCCCTATCTTCGTAGAGATGTAAAATATTCTTTGCCATACCCAGCTTATCTGACATCACAGAAACACCTTTCAATGCTTCCCATATTGTTTTTACCTAGGATCATGGAAGGTAGAACTCAGACCACCTAGTCCCTCCGTCCTAAGGTCTGCAGATGAAAACCCAAGCTCTTCCTGGGACTCCCTGCCTGCTCCTGAAGACATGACCAGTCACCAAACATGCTTCGTTGCAACCTGACAGCACCACATATACAGCAAAGCCCATAACTGACCCCTAATCTTGAGCAGCTTTACAGGCTTCTGGAGCCTACTCCCCAGCAGCCAGCAGGGGGCAGCATGAGAACGCAGCTGCTTTAACCAGGCCTTTCCAATGAGAGCTGCAGGCGGGGAGGGGGCGGGATCTGCTCAGACTAAGCCTTAGTAAGGGTCTGACATCATTAACCCTCCTTAGATTGTTTTCACTCTCTGCTCGCCTTGTTCTGCTTACTCCAAATTCAGATTGCTCTCTGGTCCCTTCCCTAGCAATATCGGTAGACTTAGGACATTGTTGAGCACAAACACTTGCAATCCCAAGGAGACGTCTCTCAATACTGTGGCCCACCCTGAGACCCCAACCCTGCTTGGAGTCTGTAGCTGGAGGCCTGTGCTACAAGCCCCACCATGTCTCCTTTCAGCCTCCTACCTCAGCCTAACAGTGTCAGGAATTGTGGGGCCATGGGCTAGTCCTCCCTCGCTCCCTCAGAATGCCTGACCCAGGGCTGGGCACACAGTAGCTACTCACCCATTGAGTGGAACCCCGGGGTCATCTCAGACAGCTCAGCTCTCACCCCAAGTCAAAGCCTGACACCCATCAACCAGGAAATTCCTCTGGACACAGAACCAGTAGCTCCTGCCTGACAGGACTGCCCAGGAACCCAAGGTCCCCAGGCCAAGGCAGAAACGGCAAAAGCAGCCTGCCCCTGCCCCCACCCTGGCAGGAAACTGCATCCTTGGGTAACTTGTGCCTCTGCATGTGCATGTGCCCCCTATAAATTCTGTTCCAGGGTTTTGGCTGCACTGACTACTGTGGGCATCAGAGTGCCCTGTGGTGCTGCACAGTCCTCAGAAGTCTTATGGCTCAGCCATTCACCCAGTCTGGATGCACTGAGGCTGAGCAGTGAACTCACACATTACCAAAATAATTATAACTACCTCTGAACCAAAACCCAAAGATCTTGTGAGTGTCCTCCACTGTATCCTTGAGCAAGAAGTACAGGATCAAAAAGAAGTGACCCTTGGGCCCTCTAGGAGTCAAGGGGCGCCAGATATCTGAACAGAAACAGAAAATTAGTGCTTAGCTGAGCAGTGGCTGGGAGCCAGTGGGGAGGCCAGCATGGGGAGCCTGGGGTCAGAAGTAGCCTCTGATGGAAGCTGCAGAGATCCCTAAAAGAGACAAACCCCTCCGTGCCTGTATCCCCTACGCATTTTGCCAACAGTATTTGTAACACTCTCAGGGCCACAAGAATTAATGCTCTAAACAAGCCTTGCCTCTGAGCCCCAGGCTGGCTGTTGCACCGTGGACACTGACTCTCTTAACTGATGGCATTTCTGTCTGTGCAGAGGTTGGGGGTAAGCCCAGCGTCTTCGACCATCCACACCTTGATGGCCCGCATTTTAAACTGTCTTCCAACCCTCACCTCACACTTCCCCATCCTTTCCCCCAGGCTTCATTTTCCTTATTTTGGTTCACTGTTTCACATCCATTTACTCTTAAATGTTTTTTTGAAATAGGAATATAAATGAGGAATAAGCCACCGAGGCAACACCAGGACCAGGATGAGGGGCAGCAGGGCAGGAAATGCAGCAGTTTGCCTCCTTGATGCTCCTGTCCCTGCATATTTGCATAAAATTTGTGACCTAACAGGTCCTCAGCCCTGACACCAGGCCTGAAAGGTGTTGTCATCCACATCTGAGTTCCCTGATGGCCTCAGCGACCACCTGGATGGGAGCAGGATCTCCTATGCCAGGTGGGGGGGCAGTTCTTCCCCAACCTCAGGTAGACAAGACTTTAAGTCTTGAGGCCACAGAGCTGCCACCAAGGGGCCTGAGGCTGGGGACTGCTAGGAAAGGGCAGCGGAATGGGTGTGTGTGTTAGCAACCCGTCAGCACTACACGGCAGCCTGGCCCGGGGCCTGTCCTTCTCCCCACGGTGGGGCAGAGACAGCTGCATCTAAGCCCTTTAAAGGCCTGGGCAGAGCTGCCTGCTCCTGCTCCAAGCCCTGGGCCGCACCACCCGCAGTGCAGCAGAACACCCCCAGGTTAGCAAACACATCCACACAGCACAAGCTAGTGATTAATGGAAGGCAGCAAAGGTGTCAGAAGAGCGTGCCCGTCTGGAACACTTACATCCATGTCCACAGCAGCCACCGAGAAGAGAGGAGAGAATACTGTTAGGGAAGGGTCCTTGAGGATGAAACTCACACATACATGAGTGTGCAAGCATGCACACACGCACACACACTCACTGCCCATGCTCCATACCTTGGATGGCTTTTCCCTCTTCCTGCTGGTCAGAGGAAAGAGCTGGACTGCCAGGGTCACTCTTAAGAAAGTGCTACTTGTGCTCATTCATTTATATTCTCCCCCCACCATAACTTTAAAAAAAATTATGTCCCAAATACTTGGTTTAAAGCGGGGGCACCTCTTCTGGCTAATTACACACAGTGACCCTGTTCCAAGTTCCAAGTTCCATCAAGACAGGTGGAGAGAATAGAGAGGAAAAGGGTGGTAGACAGAGATAATAATAGAAGCACAGAGAAAGAGAGGCAGAGACACATGCAGGAAACAAAAGGGAGCCCGCCAACAGACAGGCAGGAAGGGGCACGGGTGGGGAGGAATGCTCTCCTTTGGACTTGCAGCTAAAGAACAGGGGCTCTGCCGGATACCTACTGGTGGTCTCTGGGGCCTCAGCCTCTACTGTTACAGGGATCGCTGCTTTATGACATACTCATTAGCACCCAGGATGACCACTTTTCCTTTCCCCAGCTCTGTCCTGAATTAGGACCTGGATCTACAACCCCTGGGAAATTTCCATTTCTATTCAGGGAACTTGGGGCTCTACAAGTCCCCAAGAATGGCTTGAACTTCCCAGGATCTGGTGTAAGCAGCCCCAGCATGTGAAATCATTTCAGGGGCCCAGGAGGAAAGCAGCTGTGATTCCCTAAAACCCTGTCTAGTGGCATCGCCTCTGAGAGTTGGCCTCCAGCTCCGGGTCCAGGATGAACCACCCCCAACACCATCTGCCACCACCTCCCAGCCCAGCACTCTTCACTACAGAGGCTGTCAGACTTGAAGGAGCCTGCAGGCATCCGTCCCTCCCACCTGCCCAAGGGGAACCTGGGCCTAGAGAAGAGGGACTGTCCCAAGGCCACAGAGGAAGGCTGTGCTGGATTGTCAGATGGCCCTTTGCAAGCACACTTGGGAGAAGAAGCAAGAACCACAGGGAGGCAGAGCTGAGAAGCGGGGCTGGGGCCAAGGCTTCCACTGAACCCCGCACTGTGCTCCCAAACAACACCCCCACTCCTATGGGATAAGAGCCACTGAATCCCAGACGCTCTTCTGCACAGATGGCCTGTCACAGCAGCCCCCCAAAACGTACACCCTGCAGTCAGCTGCAATTATATGTCAGGGCCCTGGAAGGCAGCCTGTTTAGGAAACATCACGGCAGGCGAGGGCTTCCGGCAGTGCCACGGGGGCAGAATGGAGGGGAGGGCAGCTTTACCCTTCCCAGTCCCCCAGCTGACAATATCCCAGAAGAGAAGCTTGAGTTCAGATCCAAAATGTCGAAGGGTGAACAGACAGAAGTAACCAGGCCTGTCCTGAGCCTCTGGGACTGCAGCATCGCTTCCTGGGAAGTAGCATGTCCTCCAGCCCCAGTCCTAGTATCTGGCATGGGAAACAGCTGCATGAGGACCCTCTGTTTCTGAATCCAGCCGGGAGGCCCACAGGGACACAGGCTGTTTAGTCACACTGGGGTAGAATTGGTTTCCAACCACACCCTGCTCAGCACTCCTGGGTCAGCTCTCTCCTCAGTCCTAGGCTTCTGCAATCCCTGGGTCTTCTATAGACCTTAAAAGTCTTAGTTAGCACTGAGAAGTCTTACAAATGAGGAAATGGGGGGAAATCAGGACACTTCTAGTGCAACCTCAAGTCCTCCTGGTCTCCATGCATGTGGGAGGGACATGCCATGCCACAGTGGTACAGGGCATCCTGGGCACCGTGCATCGCTTCTTGTCTTACACCATCAGCAGGCTGAGGCCAGGATGGCCCCTCCATTTTCCAAGCTAATGGCCGCTCCTCCATGGGGGAGCCAGGAAGGGTCACAAGGCAATGGGTTCATCAGGTGCCCTTTTTATCCCTTATTTGTCCAGGTAAGGTTAGGCACACAGGAGGAGCAGGTCATGAGAAAACAACATGGCCAATGGTGGGGTGGCCATGCCCCAGCATGCCATCACTCACGCAGGCTGGGCAGACAGCAGCAGGAGGCCCTGCCCCAAACTGGAAGACCCAGACTCAACCTCTCCCCCTGCAATGTCCTGGTTACTCCAGACAGTCATAACAGTAATCTTCAGAAATCCCTTTACAGCTATTTCCACAACTATAGTGAGGTAGGAAAGTAGGGACCTTTATCTCCATTTTAAGATGAGGAAACTGAGCTTAGGGTAGTTAACAGTTTACATGAAGTTGCACAGCTAGTAAGTGGCAAAGCAGGACCAGGGCTCCCTTGGCTGCACCAATGCCAGAACCCTCTAGAAACACAGCGCTCCATGACTTCAGAGGATCTTGGTAAGTTCTTGAGTTTTCATTACCCAGAACACAGGAAAGTATACTTGTATGATGGCTTAAAAACACCTGTACACATCCTTTGATATTCTTTCCTTCAAGAGGTGGAGGTAATGCTCCTCCCCTTGAAGTGGACTGAACTTGATAATTAGCTTCCAACAAATAGAGTAATGTAGAAGCAGTGGGTGGGACTTGAAAGATGAGGTTGCACAAGGTACTGTGGTTTCCTTCCTGCCCTCTCTCTCCTGGATCACTCACTGTAGACCAATCTGCCACGTTGCAAGGATGCTCAAGCAGCCCTGCAGAAGTGCCTGTGGTAAGGAACTGAGGGCCTCAGCAAAGAGCCATGAGAACTACCTTCCAGTGGATTCTCTGGTTCACTTAAGCACTAGCCCACAGCTTGACTGTGAGCAGTCAAGCCACTCTCAAATTCCTAGCCAGGAACTAGAAGACACTGTGTGTTCTGTTTTAAGGAATTAGCCTCCTGTGCCCTCCCAGCCAACCACGCAGCCAAAAGGGAGCCCAAGGTCAGGTGGCAGCTATGGGTTAGAGCTTTGGCCTGTGGTGAGGCCAGCAGGCTGCAAGGAGGCTGGCTGCTTACTCACCTTTCCGGGTCCGGCAGGTGGAGCAGCAGGTGCACACTGTGGGAACGGGGTGGGGTACCGTCAGTGACATCCCCCAGTCCTGGGTAGACAGGGAGGCCCCAGGGCACTGTGGGAATCCATGGTGTTCAATGGAGGGCTCCCAGGAAGGTGGTCTCTGCAGACCAAGGTGGGGTCAGGATCACCTCACATTCCACTTCTTTTCAGGTGCTATCCAAACCATACCCTCCCCTGGCCCATGAGGGTCAGGTCTTGCATTGTGCAGCCCAAGGGAGGGTAGGGAACAGAACAGAAAAGTTTGCTGTGGAAAATTACTCCAACGCCTACTCTCCCAGAAGCCTCCTCTCTAGGCCTTCTGGTTCTGGCCTCCTCACACTGATCCCCAAACAGGAAAATGCTTAGTGCCCTGGTGCTGCACTGAAGGTCCAATTGGCTACTTTCTGAATGCACCATTGGTCTTGGTGCATATCTGGGCCTAAATGCAGACTGAGTGACTCCAAATCCATGGGAGGCCAGGATCATTCTTTTAACTCTTGCTGGTGGCCAACACTTGACATTCAGTCCCTGCCTGCCCTCACCCTTCAAGCCAGGGGGAAAACTCTGGACAGGTGAGAGGGTCAGTGCAGGGGCAATGCCAAGCCCCACTCTAGGTGCTGAAAGCGACTCCAATGCCCAGACCCTGCATCCTCCTAAGAACACGTGCATGGGCCTCTGTGTGTCTGGTGTGTGGGGGGCAGTTGAAGAGGGAACAGAGAACCTGGGTCCACCTGCTAGGAGCATGTAGGCCAAAGTGACAAGAAAGAACACTTTGTGTGCCTCCTTTTTTCCTTCCTTTTTTGCTTGCTTCTCCCCTTCTTTCCTCAAGAGGCAGAGGGCTGAGTGGATCTTCCTTCTCCGTTCTCAGCAAACGGCCCTCTGGTTCATAGGCACCCCTCCCATCTGATGCACGTATGTGTGACTTTTATTCTGACACATTACTCATGTTTTCTTCCTCCTCAAAAGGCAGCGATTTTAATACCTGAATGCGCACCTTTTTGTTTAGATGTGTTCTTTCGAACTCTGTGTTATTTTGTATGATGGGTGTTATGTTTTTATTTTACCTAAATTGTTACATAAAATTACATTATTTTGTACTTTTCTCACGAGGCACCATTCTTTCAAGATCCATCTGTGGGCCCATTTATTCTGCAGCTTCCTGTGGCTGTGCAGAATTCCACGGCTACAGCCATGCCTCTTTGTCCTCTCTCAGGCTGTCCTCAAGCCCTGACACCTCACCAGGATTTGCAAATGGTCTTATTTGCTGTCGCACAACCCTAGGCTGAACAGGGATTATTGGGCCCTTTAACTAAAGGCAAAAGCTGAAGGGAACTGGGTCAGTCTCCTCTGCCATGGTCGAATCCCTGCCTAGGCTACTGTCCTGAGAAAAGCTTGGAAGTTGAATCTGGGCCCAGGAGGGACAAGTGTGGTGGCTGCTTTGCTATGTTGCATCTTCTGCACCTGCGCAGGCCAGTGTCACCCTACCAAGACAGAAGACCAGTCGCTCCTCTACTCTGGTGTTTCCCCCACTAGGCCATCCTGGCATCTGAGGTCCACCTTGGGGCTGAATAGGGGAGGGCACAGCAGCTCTGGGTGGCTGGATTTCTTCTGACAGACTCCTCCTGGGCACCTGCTTGGGGTGTGACAGCACTCTGATGTGGCACTCTGCCTACACCCAGGCCTGGGCACCTTTTACCTGTATATCTTTTTGAGATAGCTTTTATTCTGGGCCTCAGAACAGCTAGGGAGAATACCGTAGCATCCCTGGCCTCCCTATTGGGTCAGCACCTCCCTCCGCTGTCCTGTAGAAATCACAAGAGTTGAGGTCAAGGGCAAAGGGCAGAGGAGGGCAGGCCATGCTGCAGCATAGCTGGGTGTCTCAGCCCCACCCCAGAGCCCTCCCTGCTGCCTGGGGATGGGCAGTGGCAGGGATGTCACCCGCTCTGTGGAAGTGGCAGAGCTAAAGCCAAAACGGATCATCCAAACTCTTTTCCACCTGGTGCTGGGCCTGGAAGATGTCAAGGCCTAGGAGACAATCCCAGCATCCTTTAGATTCTGTCAGGCTTCTCATATTCCCAATTCTGAGGCTGCCCTGGGTAATTCTCAAAGGGGAGGTCTAAGCAGGAGGCCTAGATTCTGGTCCTCTGTGGCTTTGGCACAGTGCACAACTTCTCCGAGTCTGCTTTCCTTTCTAGGACTGCCTCTACATGGCAAAATAGACTCTCAGAGAGAAAGGGACTGCGGGGCTACTAGGCCACTTCCCAGTCAAAGCAGGGGTCCTCTATATAGAGCCTGAGCATTCAACTTAGGCTTGGACCCTTCAAATGTCTGGGAATCTTACTACCTCACAATGCAGCACCCCCACCCCATTTCTGTGATACTTTCAGTGGCACAAAGTGCTCTCTTGGGCGTGATAAACACAAGAAGATCAATAGTATTAGCTACTACATCTTGGTGCCAGGCACCATGCTAAGTACTTTGACTTAGCTTATTTCAATTGACCCCTGCAGATGGTGTCCCTCCTTTGCAGAGAAGGAATCTGAGCTATGGGGAGTATGACAGCTTTCCCAGTTCACATGACTAGGGAGCAGCTACTCTGTCCCTTGGTTCTTTCTCTGCCCTCTGGTCCTTAGAGAATAGGGCCCTTTTTTCTTCCAAGTGACAGTTCTCATTTGAGGCTCTGGAGCTGGCTAAGAGTGGAGGTGATACCTGTTTGTGGGCCAGTGTCCAGGAGCCAGGAGGCTACACTCTGATGTAGCCGACCAGAAGGTGGGCTGATAACAGTTTCCTTGCCTACGCTTTTGTCTCTTCACTGGCAAAATCAGAGGGTTAGATTAGGTGGTAGCTGAGGTCCCCTCCTGCCTGGACTTTGGGGATTACCTGCTGGGTTTCAGGGGTGGAGAGTCCCTCAAGAGACAATCCCTGCCTTACGTCCACAGCCAAGCCTCTACCTCCCCCTCCCTGCCTGGCTTTGAGGGTTAAAACATCTCTCACTAAAAATCTATAATTTTCGGACCTGGGGGAGGAACAAAGGGCCCATTCCTGAGAAGGGGAGGAGCCTGGGCTCGTGCTCCCCCATCTTAAGAGTCAGGTGGGGTCTTTCAAGACCTGCAGCTCAGGGCAGAGGGGCCCCCAGCCAGCTGCACCTCAGAGCACAGTCAGGGTCCAGGTGGCCTGGAGGGCCTTGTGTGTACCATTAAAGGCAGGGCAGACTGCAGGCACACACCTACAGATTCCAAAAGAATGGCCCAATTCCTACCTCTTCCCCCAGGGAGGGGCAGAGGTAGCGATCTAGCAGCGTCCTCCATACCTCCAAAGTCAACCCTTTGTCACCAGCGGCAATGCACAGCTTCTGAGATCCAAGGTCCTTGTTACCTCCCCAAGGACAGACAGTCTGGGGACTGAGCTCTGGTTCCCAGCTCCCAGTTCAAGTCCATGCTCTGACTTGCTGTAAGCCTGAAGCCCATGCTGAAGGGTCAGATGCCATGAAGTCCCCCACACAGCTGCACCTCAACAGCATCACACATCTAGGTCTCATTCCAGACCTGGGGCCTCTGGGGATGGGCCCAGGAGTCTGCGTGTTGAACAAGGTTCCTGAATTGGTCCTCACATGAGCATGAATTGATCCTCACACCAGCCTCATGCCAGGTGCTTGAAAAGTGGAGTTAGACATTGGAATTAAAGGTGCAGTTACCAGAGGCCCTTGCCCCTAAAGAACTAAACCTAAGGGCTACTACCGGCCTTCGTGTGTGGGGGCTGGCGTATGCGTGGAGAACGGGTTGTCAGGGAAGAGGAGGAAACACAAAAGTAAGAGAGCGGACAGGAAATGTCCAGGCAGAAAGAAGGCCTGTGAGAGGTGTTCAAAACAGGAAAGGCCCCCAGAGTTGGAGTCAGAGAGGAAAAGAACAAAGAAGGCACCCACAGGCCAGCTCCAGCTGTGGCTCTTGCCTCTAGGATTGGCCCAGGCACTGCCACTCAAGCACCCTCAATTCTGCAGGCTGCTTATGGAGAAGTTAGGACCCTCTGACGCAGAGTCCCCAGGCCAGCTTCCTGTTGTGGCATGAGTGGCACTGTGCCCCTCAGCTGGCCTGGCATGGCCTGATGGACATCTCTGTGGGTGGCAGGTCCATGGGCAAAGGGCTGAGTGTCTCTCAGCGAAAGCAAGGCACCAGGGGTGAAGGGAAAGTGAAGAGACACCTACCTGAGCTGCCAGCACTCTCAGAAGCACTCCTGGACATCTTGGGCTGGCCATGTTTGCCACTGGCCCGCCCAGTGCCGGGCGGAGGGGGCCCCGTAGGAGCTGGGGCACTGTCTCCTCTGATGGTGGTGAGGTCTTGCATGCTGAAGCTCCGGAGTCTCTCTGATAAGGCACCCTGTCCCTGGACACAACACAGGAGGGCATACATCAAAAGCCTGGCACAGGCGCATGGGCAGCAGTGGGGGCCCACTAGACAAAGAGATTTTTTTTTTTGATGAAGAGATTCTTGTTCTGAGGATCATTAAGGTGGAAATTAAAATTAGAATGGCTCTGCAGAGGGGCAGGGGCCCAGATATACCAGCAGGAAACAATGAGGGGATCTGGGGACCCCCAGAGGAGGACTCAGCCATTGCTCCTCTGACTCCAGGCTCCTCCTTCAGGCACCCCAGAGCTGGAGCCCAGGCAGACAAGGAGATGAATACTGCCTGCTGTCATTACTCCCTAGAGGCTGTTGGCTGCTTCTCTGCCTTTACACGAGTAAAAATCCATATATGCCTTCATTTTTCTCATTTCTTAGCATACAAGAATCTGGTCAGAAAATCCAAACCTGACATTCTGTTCTCAGTCCCAACTCCTTTCAAAGGATTTAAAATACAGACAGTGTTTTGTAATGTATGACAACAGTCCTTTCTTTCATCTGTAAACTGTTTCTGTTTATAAGACACATTTATGTTGGCACATTTGGGTTTCATAAAACACCCAAAAGGTAATGAATCGGGAAAGGAAAAATGCTATTTAAAAAAAAAAAATCCCTGCTGCTGACTGTAACCATTTCGTATTCTCAGGGAGCCACAGAATTAATCTCAGGAGAGGATTGCTCTTTTGTTGGGGAAAACAAGATAAATGCACTGTGCTCATGAAAGGGAAGGTCTTGGCTGCCTGACGGGGAGACTCTGTCGGAGAGGAAAGGATCACAGTGAAGGCCGGGGAGGCAGTGATGCTCTGGATATGTCTTTGGGTAGGACAGAGACTTGTGTTTGGAGGAAAAAAACCTGAGAGTGGAACCTGGGCTGGCAGGAGCCTGGGGTCATTGAGAACTGGCTGGTATTTGCAGCAAGAAACGTCAGACAAGTAACCACTAGACCAATTCATGAATTCTGGCATGTTCAGAGATGCGGAGAGCCTGTGGCCTGCTCTCAGGTACTGGGGGCAGCAGTGAGGACCACAGGCACATGAGGCATCAGAGTGAGAGAGGTATTTTGTTTGGATAATGAAAGAGCGGCCCCAGAAGTCTGGAGGACTTGGGGACATTAAGGCACAATGACACAACACAACACAACCAACGAATCAGCACAGAGGTGATCAGAGCAGCTAAAACTGGACACAGGCTGGTGGGTGAGATGAAACAAGGACTCAAACAACTTTGTCTGAGGCTTTCATGGAAGGGAAGAGAGCTTGGGAGAGTCTTTTCATGTTACTTAATAAAAATAATAATAACGAAAGTGAAGCAGTAGATCAACAAAGCACAGCAATTCATGGACATGAAAGATACAGGTGGATAAAGGAGCGATACAAAAGGAGTCAGGGGAACGGACAAATAAAAGGGCTCACAGAAGGGCAAGAAGAAAGGCCAGCAAACGTGTTTCGATATGAAATAGGTAAGTTCCTGATCTTCCAAAAATATAAAACATGCTTCCAGGAAGCTAACAACAACAAGAGACAACTATTTAAATAATCATTTGTAAGCCAGGTGTCGTGGTGCACGCCTGTAATCCCAGCACCGAGGAGGCTGAGGCAGGAGGATCGCTGTGAGTTCGAGGCCAGCCTGGGCTCCATTTTTAAATAATCATTTGTAAGCCAGGTGTCGTGGTGCACGCCTGTAATCCCAGCACCGAGGAGGCTGAGGCAGGAGGATCGCTGTGAGTTCGAGGCCAGCCTGGGCCACATAGTGAGTTCCAGGTCAGTCTCCACTACATAGTGAGACCCTGTCTCAAAAAACCAAAACAAACAAACAAACAAGTAAATAATCATTCACACACACACATGCATGCAAAGGAGTGTTTAGAGGACATTATGTGAAAAAAGACAGAAAATCACCCTCATTGCCTCAGATACTATGGAGCAACAGTACCAGGCCTCATATCTAGAAATTGACATAGGTAGGGTCTTTGCCAAGAAAATGAGGGCTGGATCAGCTGCCCATTATTATTATTATTATTATTTTTTAGCTGCCCACTGTATACCTTCCAAATCTAACAGCCAGTGACCATGGTCATTTTACTCAGAAACATTTTAAGTGACATCTAGAATTTAGTTCTATTTGTGGTGCCAGACACTGAACCCAGGTCCTTCTGTATGCTAGGCAGACGCTCTACCACTGTGCTACACACGCAGACTGACATCTAGAATTTAGAAGAAGGAACACTGACTCTGAAAAGTGTGAGAAAACAGTCTGATAATTATAATTGAGGAACTGAATGGGAGGTTAACAATCAGGCAAACCACTTACTGACAATCTTTCATTTGCCTTCCTATTTATTCATTAATCTGTTGAACAATGATTTATCAAGTACTTTCTCTGGGCAACACACTGCACTAGGAAGGGGCAAAAGTATCGCTTGATTTCTGACAAAATATAAGAAAACAAAGGCACAGATGACAACACAGAAGTTGCACACTGGAAGCTACAGAATATAAGAATAAGAAAGAGGCTCTCAAGTCAGGCCTGCGTTCGCATTTCGCTTCTGTCAATTAGCAGGTAGGTAATCTTAACCTCTCCACCTCTGTATCCTCATTTGCAGAAGAGACTCCAGCTGGCAGGGTGCTGGTGACAGTTCAGCGAGATTATGCCCTTCAAATAAATGCCCATTACAGAGCCCAAGGCAGAGGAATATTAAAAAATGCCAATTCTTGGGCTGGGGATTTAGCTCAGTGGTTCCACTGCCTGCGTCGTAAGCACAAGGACCTGAGTTTGATCCCCGGTACCCATTCAAGAAAAACGCCAATTCTGATGACGAAGATGATGTTGCCACATAAGTTGCTATTGAAATCAGAGAACAGAAAAGATCCCTTCTGTTCAAAAGGAACAGGAGGGACTTCCTGACCCCAAGCCCAAATAAATGGTCAGGGACTAACTGAAAGGGGGTTCGCGTGTCCTTTCGGGTGCCCCTTCCCAATTAGGCCACTCACGCACCGAGAGGTCCGGCAGGAGATCTTTATTGTAGGGAGGCGAGCAGGAGGCAGGAAGGCAGAGAGAGAGAGAGAGAGAGAGAG